GAATTACAACATATTGTTGGGCCACAGCGCTTCACAGGAGTTCCAGGTAATTATGAGTTTGTGTGAGTGTTTGGAACCCCATACAGTCTGTAGTCTTTAAGCTCACCTGGTTCTCTCATCCCCAGCCATGATGGAAGGTTCATGGTCCGATCTGGTTCAGCGGGGAAAGTCTGAGATTCAGCCTTTTGCTCACCTCACTATTAATGCCGCCAACATCCCATCGGGTAAGTTATATTTACACTCTGCCTGAAAACATATTTCAGTTTTTTGTTTGTTCGTCAGCCCGTGGACATACTCAAGCCTATTCTTAGCCTGTTACTAAAACTTCTGGGTCTTGACTTCTAAACCAAAAGAAGGAGGCCAACCCTTCAGTTGACCCCTGCCTTGTCAATCATGTCATAGTCACATCATCCCTGTATTCATTTTCATATCATGGAAGTGGGTGTTTATTTTAGGTACCTGTGCCGGTTGGGAACACATATAATTGTTCACAGTGGCCATCTGTTTTTACTCATGAAGTAGATTAGTTTGGTACCAAATGCATCCCCATTACTGACCTCCTTGGTGGCTGACTTCATTCAGGAAGCCAGAGAGGTTTCCTTCCGGGAGGGCTGTGTGGAGGTTAGCAGATGATAGGAGTCCTCAGGAAGCTAAGATATTCTGTGCCTTCTCCCCATGCTTATCCTCCTACTGCTGGTAAATATTTGGTTTCATGGGCCAGAGACCTGATTACTTTTGAAAATGAGGATCCAGAGCTCTGTGCCTGAAGCTACCTCAATGCACTAGGTGGGTAGTTATCACAGAGTCCACCGGCTGCTCACTACGGGCTAGGCAAAGATTACAAGGATCCCAGTGGATATTACAGTAGAGTGAGAATTGCATTAACACTACTGTGTCCTACGTACTGAATACCTCCTATGCTTAGGGAGTTCGCTGTGCATTCAGGATCTCTCATCCTCCTACGAGGTCGCAATTATCATTCAGATTGTACAGACCGTGGGACGGGCCTTCCCATAGTTTGTCACTTGCTTGAGGTCACAGTGGTAACAGGATTAGAAGCTGACTTGCCACGCTACTTAATTCCCAGTCCCTGCTATGCACTAACCCAGCGGCAGGCTGCAAGGTACCTGTGGTGGGTTGGGTTTGTCAGAAGGAAGTAATACAAGGGTCATAGATATTTTTGCCAGAAGTGGATCCGTTTGGTATCTAATGACAAAGGCTCTAATGTCTGCTTGGGCCTGTGACCTTGCATGCAGTAGTGGAATCTGTGCCTCAGCTACAATAATCATGGAAGTAATGTCCACCTTGTGGGGAAGCCGTACATACTATATTTTTGGTAGAAGGGGGCATATTACACTCGGCAGATGTAATTCACAATTGCTATCTGAGCTTGATTAAGTCATTATGTAAATTCCATTTTGTTCTACAAATGACCTAAGGCAGGATTTTTTTTCTTTTTTGAGTTTAAACTTTTTTTTTGAGTCGTTTAAATAATAAAAGTCCATCTTTTTAATAAATAATTTTGAGCCATTATCCTAGCAGAGGCCATAGAGAGAATTGTTTTCTGATTGAAGATATGAAAGGCGTTGAGCCGTTAGGAGATTCTCTAAGCTCCCTGTTCAGATCCCCATAGTTCTCTGTCTGTTTGTGCATGGTGATGGAGCTATGCTAATTTTCTGAGTGGGAAAACTAGTTTGCATGTTCACAAAGGCAATCAAATTAATACCAATGCATGGGCTGCGTGTGCTGTGAATGTACCCTACATTTATCTTTTCAGTTCACTTTAAATGGCATAGGATAAATATTGCCTGAGACCGTGTGCCAGAGTCGGCTTGGCAACAGCAAGCATGTTTTAGTTATAAAGCTTCCTCTGCAGGCACCTAGACTCTAACCAGTGCCAAAAATCCAGGCAAAACTCCTGCTTATGTGCCGACAGCTATTTGGCTTAGGACGCAGGGAAATGGGCCACTCTATGACTCTGTTTAAGAGAATAGAGTTAGTGGCTCTGGTTGGGCCAACAGCCCCTCTAACCCATTGTTCTCGAAATGCTGGCCAGTATTGAATGATTCAGAGGAAGTTGGCTTTCACTTGCTGTTTTTATTTTGGAGCGCTGTTATGTATTTATTTATACAGAATCTGTCGTATGTGGACTGTTCTATGGTTTCAAAGTTTCTTGAGTAAAATGCATTAGGAAGTGCTTGGGGGCGGGGTCAGAAGATGAGATTTTCCTTAGGAAGCTGTGTAAGCAAAAATGTTTGCTGAGGTCCCTGTCCAAGATCTAGCAGCTGGGAGCCCAGCAGAGAGTTGGAGAGGTCAGCCAGGCTGGAGTAAGAGGTCCGCAGCATGCCTCATTATCCTGACTGCCGGGGCAGGCCTGCCTCCACCCTGCCTTTTCCTCATCTTTCCCCCACCGTTATCTCTCGGTGAGTCCTTTATTCACACTGTCTGGCTTTCTAGTCTTTCTCCTGTGGGCTGCATGAACACCCCACGGAGCTTCAATAGCGTTTTTCTCACCAACTGTGTGCGTCCGTTCCTCAACCCATTTCTGACTTGAGCCTCCCTGGCTTTCTGGCTCTTCTGCCTCACCAAGCTGACATCACGTATCTCTGCAGCTTCTGCCGGGCAGTCCCTCGCCTCCAATATCAAACCCTGCTCTTCCCAGCAGGCAGCAATGGGGTGATCGGATTTTATATGCTCACTTCTTATTTTCCCGACCATCGGTGGTAAGCATCCCAAGGGCCGTCTACTTGGTAAACATCTTCGTTATGGACAGAGCGGGTCATTCTTCATTTTAGGCAGAGTGAATGTCCACAGGAAGCACCATGTTAGGTCTCTTCCTGTCAGATCACCAGGAAGAATCAGTACTTGAGGACAGGAATGGAGAAAGGCAGAAAATACATTAGAATATAGAGGCTGCTTCTCCCACGTGACGTACTGAACTATGAGAATGGTACTCGATCAGGGTTCCTATCTGTTCTCATCACTGTTTTGTATTCCTTTCTTGCCATCCCTGGCCGTATCTCACTCCAACGTGAGTCAGCCCATTCCATAGGAAGAAGAGACTTCACTTTAGTAATTTAACTTGTCTCTGTTAAGAGAGACGTACATGACAATTGAATGAAATGTAGTACAGGAATTGGGTAAGAAGCTGGGCAATATGGAGTAACTTGAGTTGGGAATATTTTGAATTTCATAAGCTCTGCCCATGGATTAGGTGGCTATCTACTGTTCTGGAGGAGTTATCATGTCAGCGTTTATGATGATGTAGTGAGCAGGCTTTTATAGTCTCATGTTGATTCACTTGGGACTCTAGGGTTGTATTTGCATTTGGGACACTTGACTCCAGGCAGAGCTGAGATAAGTGGGAGAAAAGGATGATTGCTGTCCAGTGTCTGGAGGCTGGTGACTGGCTGTAGCAGCCCTGCTGTGAAGTATGAGAACCCTCTTGTCCTCTTTGGAAACTGGAACCTTGTTTTCTTGATCATTTGGTGAAGAATTGTCCCACTGCAGAGTGACTACTGCCTCATCCCACCCCCCACCCCACTTTTCCCATCTCCTGTTTGATTTCTGCAGTAGCTTCATTTGGAGGTCCTAAGATCACATCTGAGATACCACAGGCCTTTCTCTGGTTCGTCCTCTGACTCTCTAGGGAAGGATATAGGTGTTCAAGTCTCTCTGGGACTCAGGCTACTGTGGGAAGGTAGATAGTGTAGGTGGTATTATTGTTATTGTTATTATTTATACAAAGATCTCCTTGGATCCACCAAACCAGAGAGCTGTCAACTTTCATGACGTGGAATCTAGTTCCTGGGGTGGTGGCTTCAGTGTTAGTCCCTGTGCTTATTTCTTTTATTCTTTTTTTTATTTTTATTGTATTTCTTTTATTCTTAAAAAATTATTTATGTATATTTCTGTATACCGTAATGTTGAAACCATAATGACACTTTCATTAAAGTATATCATGTATTTTTGACATTATTCACTTTCCACCACACTCAATCCCAAATAGCACCCCTTCTTTTTGCATGGTGTGTGTGTGTGTGTGTGTGTGTGTGTGTGTGTGTGTGTGTGTGTGTGTGTGTGTGTCTTCTAGCTTCCACACATGAGCAAGAACTTGTAATACTTGTCTTTTCTGGGTCTCCTGACTAGTTTCCGTCATTCACCATCTCAGTACTAGCCAGTTGTAGGCAATATGGCACCTAACAAATTTCTTATGTTGCAGAAACAAATTGTTCCCTGCTCCCGTAGTCTGAGACCAGCTGTGCCTTGTCTTCCTGACTCCAGAGAGACGGCACTGTTAGTTTGGTGTAACTCGTTACAAAATCCTTGGAGGAAAGATGTGTTCTTGGACCTTTCCATGCTTCTGTAAACTCCTACCCTCTGAGTTATCACTTTTTCCAGTAGAATAATTGGTGTCCACATAAGTACATGTATTGAGCAATTTGATTTATTATAGAGGTATCCTCAAATTTTAAAGAGCCAGTAATATACATCAAAGACCTGGACTACGAAAAACATTGGGCACATGACTGATTTACAATGTTCTTTACAACTTGGACTTCTCCAGAAACAAAAGCATGGAGGTCCCTTGTCACTTCATTTCTTGGACCAGAGGGGGTTGTAGGAGAACTTGAAACTGGGGAGTGATTTTACAATATTAGATGTGAGTGACTGCATGATGTTGAGAAGCTAGGATTTATTTATTTATTTATTCATTTTTTTGAGCTTCTCTGGGGATAGACACTCAACTATGTGACTGTAGCTAAGGTGGGCATGATAGATGGTGACACAGATAGAATTGGCCTACCCCCAGCTTCTGTGACTCAGACTCTCACATCCTTCCATACCCCTGTCCATGAACAGAGGGTAAGTTATGTGATAGATGAAGTGCTCTTCCTGTACAAGCTGATTTCTTTCCTGTCTGAATTGACTCTGGCTAAGTCTTCTCCTCAACCTGGCATGAACTGCTCTCAATCTTCTCCCTTCTTGTTTCCAGCAGGGTAGCACCTTCATGGAGTCAGTTTTGATCCCTCTGTGTGGAAATAAGTTGTTCCCTCTCTCTTTATTCCCATTGCAATTTAATGCACTTCCTCTTCCATGCTTTGCTTCTTTTCTGGACCATGTTGCATTATCGCTTATGTCCAATAGCCTCTGTGAGGGCAGGAATAGAGGACTTTTGCTTTTGTGCCCCGGTAGTCAGGATAGAAAGCACCGAGTTCCGTTAAATGCACCCATCCCCATACAGAAACTGCGTATCAAGGTAAGTTACTGTGTTGGAATAAGGACTATGGTGTTGGCATATAATACCATCCAGCAGCCCATGGAAATAATGAGGAGTTTTCTCATCCAAGAAGTGGATTCTAAATCTGTTCCTCTGTCCTCTGTAGGTTCCCATAAAGTCAGTCTGTCCTCTTGGTACCATGATCGGGGCTGGGCCAAGATCTCCAACATGACTTTAAGCAACGGAAAGCTAAGGGTTAACCAAGATGGCTTCTATTACCTGTATGCCAACATTTGCTTTCGGCATCACGAGACATCAGGAGACCTAGCAACAGAGTATCTTCAGCTGATGGTGTACATCGTTAAAACCAGCATCAAAATCCCAAGTTCTCATAACCTGATGAAAGGAGGAAGCACCAAATACTGGTCAGGGAATTCTGAATTTCACTTTTATTCCATAAATGTCGGAGGGTTTTTTAAGCTCCGAGCTGGTGAAGAAATCAGCGTTCAGGTTTCTAACCCCTCCCTGCTGGATCCAGATCAAGATGCGACCTACTTCGGGGCTTTCAAAGTTCAAGACATAGACTGAAACTCGTTTTGTGGAGCATTAGCATGTATATCCTAGATGTTTGGAAGCATTTTAAAAAATGGAAGATGTATATAGGTGTGTAAGACTACTAAGAGGCATGGCCCACATTGTACAAAATTTATGGTCTTCTCTCTTGACCCTGTATAGGTCATGCATATATAAAGTCAATAGGAGATGTTAGACTCCTGGTGATTACACAGTGGTTGTATAATTTTGTAATGAAATCCTAGAATTCAATCAGACTGGAAGAAGTATGGGGATGCTTATGAAAAATGGAAGGGATCACAGTCTCTGGGTCTAACTCCTGGCCATGTGCTATTAAGAACCTCAAAGTTAAAAGGGTGCCATTTCATTGCAGACAAATGATAGTTTGAAGGGTTAAGTTCTTTTGAATTGTTACATCATGTTGGAACCTGCAAATAAGTCCTTTTTTTTCTAATGAGGAGAGAAACTATATGTATTTTTTATATAATATCTAAAGTTATATTTCAGGTGTAATGTTTTCTGTGCAAAATATTGTAAATTATATTTGTGCTATAGTATTTGATTCAAAAATATTTAAAGATGTCTCACTGTTGACATATTTAATGTTTTAAATGTACAGATGTATTTAACTGGTGCACTTTGTAATTCCCCTGAGGGAACTTGTGGCTAAGGGGAAGGATACTGTTTCTGGCGACCACACCGTAGTTTATTTCTTCATTCTTCTTAATTTAATAGAGTTTTCAGACTTGTCAAGCCTATGCAAACAAAAAAATTAAAATGGATACCTTGAATAATAAGCAGCATGTTGGTCACCAGGTGCCTTTCAAATTTCGAAGCTAATTGACTTTAGGAGCTGACATAGCCAAAAAGGATACATAACAGGCTACTGAAAACTGTCGGGAGTATTTATGTAATTATTGAACAGGTGTCTTTTTCTACAAGAGCTACAAATTGTAAATTTTGTTTCTTTTTTTAATAGAAAAAGTATTATGGTTTATCAGCAAGAAACAATCCACTTTTTAATTTAGTGAAAGTTATTTTATTATGCTGTACAATAAAAGCATTGTTTCTGAATGTTAATTTTTTGGTACAAAAATAAATTTATATGAAACCTGCCTACTCACTTCTGTTCTTCACTTTCATGTGTGTCTTGCTCTGTGACCCTGTTCTTTCCAATATGATAATGCAGCTCCTATCTTTCTCCAAAGGTTACTGAGAGAAACGCAGATTTAATTAAAACCTAGGAACAGATTCAATTAAATTAATGAACCTTGGAATTTGAAAAATAATTTTCAAGGGATTTATATTCAAGGATGTAGGCAGAGAAAAAACAGGCTCCTTACTTTGAAAAAAAAAGTTTGCTCTGCCTGAATCATGAGGAAAATGTGGTGCTTTGCCTTGGGGGATCATCAGGGCATGCTCTCCCTTACCACAGTAAAGGGAGACTCACTTTAGCCTGGACACATTTCCTCATGACAGTCTATGTGGATGAGCTGTCTAAACCACACTGGTTACTCCTGAAGGACAGAGAAAAGAAAACAGCCAGCTTGGGAAGGCACAGGAAGTCATTATTTGAGGCACTTGTCATTTGCAGATAAATGTTTTTTGATGATTGAGACAGCATAGAATGGGAGAAGGAACAGCAGATGTTACTGAGAAGAAATCATAAATTTTAAACAGCAGAGCTATAATGGTGGGACTCGATGGTGTTGGCCAAAATACACCTACTATTTTATATCTGTCAGTAAATCTGAGTTTGAATAGTGCAAACATGACTTGGGTGTTGTGTATCTTGAGGGCTGCTGCTTGTCTTAAGGAAAATTCCGATGAGCAGTCGCGTTCCTGCAGCTCCACAGACACAGAATCTCGTCACAGTCTCATTAACTAGCCAGCTTATAGCCTGGTCCAGCAGTTTCTACTTGTTCATTTCCTATTTTTTTGAGCACCGATGATATGCTAAGGACAGTACCAGGCATTGACCGTAGTTACTGTGGCGGGTCTCCCAGCCCTGGGCTTCTATTTTAGTGGAGTTATCAACTTATGTGGGGATGTGGGAAGAAGCATGTCCTGCTTGATCCAAATATTGAGAGTCACAGAAAGTCTAAAATGAAATATTGGATAGAAAGTGGAGCAAAAGCCTCCAATGTGGACACAGAATGTCCACTATTAACTTTTACTTGGGGGTAGCATGTTAGTTGCTTTCAAACTGTTGAGATAAATATATGAGAACACCTTAGGCCTGTGGTTCTCAGCCTGCCTGATGCTGCCACACTTTAATACGATTCCCCTTTTCCTTCTGCTTTGCCTTCTCATGCATCTCTTCCTCTATTTCCTCTCTCTGTGTTTCAATCCCCCCACCCCCACCTGCCGCCCTCCACCAGACTTACCCAGAGGACAATCTGATGGAGGTAATTTCTCAGTTGCGGTTCCCTCTTCCCAGGTTTGTGTTGAGTTGACATAAGCTAACCAGCGCACTGGTGGTCCTTGGGGAATAAGGAGGCTGTTGTGTCCAATTGAGAGGAGACAAGATCGTGTCCCCACCCTGCTACAGCTGAGTGTAAATGGGAGGTGTGACCACACAGTGTCAGGAAACCTGTGTATATCGGATGGAGTAGATCTGAGCTGCTGGCTCATTCTACCTGCTGCATTTCAGTCCTCTGTACCTGCCAAATCTGGGGAAGGAGAGCATGCCAAGTCTCAAGTTATCTGTCTGCCTGAATCAATTTTTACAACCACACCAGGCCCATGCATCCAAGCCTCTTCCTAAACACGACTTGAAGTGATTCTTAGAGTGCTCGCTTTACCCGGGTTCTCTTGCTCTTTTATCTCATTCATTTACAATTAAAAAGATTTTTTTTTTAATTTTATGTGCATTGGTGTTTTGTCTGTATCATTGTCTGTGTATCATGTGTGTGCCTGGTGCCTTCAGAGGCCAGAAGAGATGCCCCGGAATTGGAGTTACAGACAGTTGTGAGCTACCGTGATGGTGGTGAGAATCGAACTCGGGTCCTCTGGAAGAGCAGTCAATGTTCTTAACCGCCTAGCCATCTCTCCAGCCCCATATCATTCATTTCTATTAGGCTGCCTTGAAGAGTTCCCAGGGGAGATAACCTATTTCCTCGATGACTTTGGTGGGAAGTTGAGAACTCTGGACCGATCCTTTCTGGGTGTTCTTACTCGATTGGTTTGGCATAGCAATACCACTATACTCTATGCTTTGGGGACACAGAACTTCAGCTCACTTTGTGATCTTACCTTTGGCCTCTGGGTCACGGTGGGCACACCACATGTACATCCCCTTCAGTTTGTCTTTGTTAATTGATTCTTCTGCTTCTTTGCTATGAAATTGAAACATGTTCTCAGTAACTGCAGTTATAAATGCTAATGAGCTATTGACTCACATTATTATGATTCAGCCTCCTGTCACTTCTTGTAATAAAAATGTGTACACATGTTATATTTCAGCTATAAAACAAGTACCCTTTCGATTAATAATATGCTTATGACAATTCTCTTTTGTCTTTTTTAACTTTAAAGGGGTGTGTGTGTGTGTGTGAGAGAGAGAGAGAGAGAGAGAATGTGTGTCACATTTGTGCAAGGGCCAAAAGAGGCTTTTGGGTCCCCTGGAACTAGAGTTATAGGCCACTATGAGCAGCTTGACATGGGTGCTAGGAACCAAATTCAGACCCTCTGCAAGGTCAGCGTGCAAGCTTAACTGCTGAGCCACAGCTCCAGCCCCAATTTTAGTTTGGTAACTTGAAATTCTATATATATCTTAGTCACTTGCCCTCTTTTTTTGTTGACAAGTTTACTTGAGGGGCTCGGTACTATGGCATCTTAACCAGCACTCCAGCCATTTTGTTTTAATTAGACATGGCCTGAGCCAGGAGGACTGGTGTCTGGGGACAGAAGATGGTTGTCCCAGATCAAGCAAAGAGCACAAATGACTCCTCACCATCTTCTGGCTTTACTCAGACCTTCAGAGCATCAGATGGTGTCCCCCCACGCTGGGGAAGACAGTCGTGACTCAGTTAATCGACTCCAGGAATACCCTCACAGACACACCCAGAAACAGTGTTTTACTGTCTGTCTGGACATGCTATAGTAGCCCAGTGGATTTGCCTCATAAGAGTAACCATCATGCTACACTGAGGACACTGAGCCACCTATAAAATAGCTTAGAAGAGGTAGCTATTTTGAGAAGCCCAAATGCACTTGGTCAATGATAGTATCACTTCCCAACTTGAGGGAATTACCATGGAAACAAATCTCTGATCATGCCTGTGAGAGAGGATCTAGATTAGCTTGGCTGAAGTAAGAATATTAGCCTTGAATGTGGATAGTCCCATTCCAGGGGCTGGGGTCCCCAACTGATTACAAAGGGAGCCAAGCACAAACATTCACCCTCTTTGCTTCCAGACTGGACATGATGGCCAGCTTCCTCCTGCTCTTTCCCTGTGATTTTCCTATCATGATGGACTGTACTGATGCTGGGAGCCCAAACCTTTCCTTCCTGAAGATGCTTCAGTCAGATACTGTGCTCAGCAGTGAAGAGTAACGAACACACTGTGTGGCATCCCTTCCCTTAGCATCTCTCTCCTCCTTAATTCCTGTGCTTGCGCTGCTACTAAAACTTAATAAACTCCAGTACTGCTTGTAAGAAAGTGAATTTAGGATAAAAATGTCTCAATCCAAATAGGTGAAAAGAGAAAAGTTCCCAGACAACGCTAGAGGAAACACAAATAACGAACACATTTTATTGATGAAACCTAAATGAGGAATTAAGTCATGAAACAGAGTAGGAACTTCGTTGAGTTTGTCTAAACTACCATGGCTCAAAGAGGCAGTCTGTGTAATATAGGGTAAGAGGGATCCCCATCCCCAGCACAGGACACCCACCAAAGCCAGTCTAGGACTCCCCTTCTCTCTCTACTCCACTAGCTTACAAACACAGTCATGGTTACCCCAAAGGCAGGTCCTGCGTTGATGCCCAGGTCGGTAGTTACAGGAGTCATTAGGAGCATCCAACCATGGGGGTGAGATAGGACAGTAACTTGGGGGTGAGTCTCCATGTGAAGGCAGACTTGATGGCTATCAGCACTTGGCAATGCTGGAAAGCCAGAAATCATCCGGACCCGAGTGGCTGCCCAGACGCCAGAGGACGCCATGTGGAAAGAAACTCGAGGTGCCTGTGAGCCCTGGGTAGATGTACAAACAACCTCCTTTGTGGGTGGATTCCAAAAGCTTCCATGAAATCATGTCCTAGAAACTATGAGAAGCTGTTGACCTCTGAATTAGTTTGGAATGGCCGCCATAACAAATTACCATACACTTGGTGTCTCAGAACTACAGAAATACAGGCTCTTTACTTCTGGTGTAGGAGGCTGAAACATAG